GAAGTTTTGTATCAATTTTTAGGTAGGTTTCATGAAGTTACTCTAAAACTTAGTGGAACATACTACCCAACATCACCTTTAGCTTTAGGAGAACTTTTAAGAATTAGTATTTTATTTCACGAATATAGGGAGGACCCAATCTTAGGAGTTCCTGTTCAGTCTATGGAAAAAAAATTTAAAAAATATTGGTATAAGTTGCCTTTGTTATATGGTTTAGGTACAATTTTTGATCCTAGAATAAAATTAGACGGATTAGAAAGTTGTTTAGAAAACTTAAGTGAATTTTTAGGCATCACTTGTACGGACCAATTTTCAATAATAAAGGCAAAAATATATGAGATCTATAGTAAATATGAGATTAGGTTTATAAGCACAAACTCTAGAGTACAAGAATCGCAACAACAGGATGAAAACCCGCATTCATTCTTGAATGTTTTCGGGTTAAAGAAGAAGAAGAAGAAGACAACTCAAACGGAAGTTGTGAGTGGAAGTGGATCTTCATCAACAAGTGGCAGTGGCGGCAGCAGCTTCAACGAGCTTATGGCGCACCTCAGTGAAGGCTTAGTAGTCGGCAGTGCGGCAGAATCGTTTGACTTAGTTCAATGGTGGAGGGCACGGGCATTAACTTGGCCAATCCTAACTCGATTGGCAATGGATATATTTTCGATCCCAGTCTCCACTATTTCATCCGAACAAGCTTTCAGTACGACAGGAAGAATACTTGAGGAACGCCGGAATGCATTGCAAAGGGATATTGTTGAAGCCTTGGTTTGGATCGGGCTGATCAATGTCTACAAGATACAATTTCACCGGCAAGCCAAGAATGGATCGATGAATTTAATCGATTAACATTTAATTTTGAAGACGATCCCTCAGCTTCAAATTAAATTGTAAATTTGTAAATATGTATTTACTTTTGTATTTGTAATTTAATAAACAATGTAAGTTTGTACAATTTGTAATTCGTCACAAAATGATTGCACTCTTTTTTCCTTGTCAAGTTTTTATCCCAATTTGGTTTTTCTTGGTATGGTTTTTAGTGAGACAATCATGAATTACAAATTTAAAAATTAATAAAGAAATAATTTTTTTATATAGTTCGTGTGTTCATTTCAAATTGTAATATA